CATAGCTTCTCACTTTCATGTCCTCACTTGCCCATAGCCCACTGTGCTGAGGTGACCCACCTTCTTGGCCCAACCCAGCTGTTAACCCTCCCCTGGCTCTGATATTCCATTCCCACGTTGTTTTATAAGCAAGCAATGTATTCCAGTGCTTGCAAACTAGCTTGGATGTTCTTGGCCCAATTTTAGCACTCGAGCAAAGCTTAGTATCTCATCAAGCACAAACGTAAAAGTTTTTTCCGGGGGGCGGGGACCTGTATGTATGTCCACTTGGGCCCAGTGGACTGTATTTGCTCTCTCCTTTCAGGGAGAAAAAGGAGCTCCTGGAATGTTTGGGGACGTTGGGCGGAAAGGTTCAAAGGTACTGTGTTAGGAAAAATATATAAAATACAGAAATGTTGGGGTGCTGCTTGTCTGATTCTTCCTTTGCATGCAACAGTGGGGACATTTATCCCTCAACCTTTTTTTCTTTGAATTATTTAACCAGTTCTTCCTCTTTCCATCATTTGGATCTACGGGTAGTCCTCACTTAATGACTGTTTGTTTAATGACCATTTGAAGTTATGATGGTGCTAAAAAAGTACTTATGACCAGTGCCCAAAGTTATGACCATCACAGTGCCCCCACAGTCACATGATCATGATCTGGGTGCTTGGCAACCAGTTCACACTTATGACAGTTGCAGGATCTCGGGATCCTGTGATTGCCATTTGTGACCTTTCCAGCCGGTTTCTTCCAAACAAAATGAATGGGGAACCACATGATTCACTTAACAACTGCATGATTCGCTTAACAACCACTGCAAAAAAGGTCATAAAATCGGGTCTGGTCACATGATTATTCACTTAACGACTGCATCACTTAGTAACCTAAATTCTGGTCCCAATAGCAGTCATTAAGTGAGGATTACCTGTTACTCTTGACTGGTTTGCTCCAACAGCCAGGTTTGTCCATTCAGAGAAAGAGCAGTGGGCTTTTTTTGAGGGGGGGTGCTTTTTCAAATGCTTGGGTGGGTCAGCAGCTCAACAGTGGCTGCTCATTCTTTCTCTTCTGGGGACCCCCCCCTTTATGGCTAACCCCCCACTTCCTTCTC